TGATCTGAATACAACTTATATTTTGCAACAAAAATTCCTGCAAATGGATTGCAAAATGTACTTGCTAAATGCTTGCAAAAATTTCAAATAGTTTCAGTTTATTGTAATATAGCTTCAGTATGTTGCAACAAAAACATCTTGAGTAAATGCATGTCGAAATGCAAGAAGAAGAGCAGAAGAATTGTCGATTAGTAACACTAGATTGTACAAAGTCAGCTTCATTATATTATTTATAGTTCATTTCATGTTATCATTTAAATTTCATTATTCCTCCATTTCTGAACGAACAGTCTTTGTCAATTTATGAACACAATCGCGTTGAAAGCAAGTTTCTTATTTGAATAATTAATATATTCTGCTGAGTAATATGTTCTGTTTAAATGTACCAATAAAAAAAAATTGTTTTTATAGGTGTGAATATTCATGTTTAACCAATAAAATCAAGAAAATGGAAACGTCGATTATGTTACCAATCTTGATTAGTTTGAAGCAAAAAGGGGTACATATCTCAATCACACCATATGAACACTGTATGATCTTGTAAAAATATTTGATTAAATACTGCAACTGCTAAATAATAAAACATGTGAATATTGGCTTATAAAATTTAACAAACACTCGTCAATTTGCAAAAAGAATTGATTTTCATGAATCATAAATTTGATTTTCTAAAGGTAGTAGTTTCATTCTTTGGAATATTAGAAATCTATGTTATATTTCTGTAGATATGTTTCATAGCTGCATCAATTTTATTTTTGTATTAAGTAATAATTATTAGTACAATTGAATAGTACAGTTACTGTCGTTGTATATATAATAAACATTTTATTCGACACATGTGAAATAATCCTACATATCAATAAAAAAATTCACAAAGTTGATTCTAAAATTTGATCATCGAGCAGAGATATTGATTCTTACCTGTAAAAAAATGAAAATGAAAGTTAATCTTTTTACAAAAATAGATAACTGAAACAAAAAATAACGTACGCAATGTGTTGATGTCTCGCTACAGATTCTTCAGAAACTTACTCCCTGCATGAGATCTACAATGAGAAAAAAGGACAGAGAAAGAAAGTGTGAAACCAATTAGGAAAAAAAGGAGACACGTTTACTTAATCGTGATCTGCGTGAAATCTCCTAAAAACAAAAATGCTGTCCTTGTCTTTCTTCCGTTTCTAGAATTTCCAATTTACAAGCTATTCTTGCGATCCAAGGAAGCATTCCTCGCCATCTCTCGGTGAGATCTTTTTAAAGAGTGCTTGCTTCGTCCGTGGAAGACTAATTGTAAGGAAAGAGAACACACACACGTACACACATAACTGAGGCACTCGATGTCTCACATTTGCCCGCAAAGTTTTAACCACTATGATGGCTAACTACTGGTCTTCCTCGATCTCTCCTTTTAGCCAACATCGTCGACCCTGAGCGGTCTACGGCGCTGTCGAGCCTTGTACGATTGCGAAGCAGACAACGAGGACGAATTGTCGTTCCGGGAGGGCGAAGTGATAATCGTGACAAACGAGCAAACCGACGACGACAACTGGATGGAAGGCGCTCTCGAACGAGCGCCCGAGAGGAGGGGCATGTTCCCAATCAGTTTCGTGCACATGCTGCAAGATTAACACTCGGTAAGCCTGAACTCGTTGGCGAGTGTCTCCAGTACTGCCAGCTCTGTGAGCGTCGCTAGTCTCGGCAGAAAGTCCTGGATGAAGAAACCGAAGGATTGAACATTCGAGACGATAACACATCGAGCGTGTTCTCAAGAAAGCGATCTTTCAAGAAATCACGAGGTTCTATTCTTTCGACACTTCCTCTCTCTCTCTCTCTCTCTCTCTC